CCCTTCACTATAGCTGCAGGCTATGAGGAAGCTTGGGTTAAAACACTTCAAGCAAATTCAGGGAGCAGTTGAGAGACCCAGCTGCACTTGCAGAGGACCCCATGATTGACATCCCCTCCTGACCTCCACGGGCACTGGACACATGGTACAGATGGCCATGCAGGCAAAACAAAACAAACCAAAACCTACCCCTATACATTTCAGAAGATTTTAGAAATATTTAAATATTTTCAGTTAAATGTATATACCTGTGTGTGGTGGGTCAGTACACTTGAGAGCAAATAGCAAAGGAGACACCGGGCTCCTCTACAGGTGGACGTGCAAAGGAATGTGAGCGTGCACACACGTATGTGGATCCCGACTAAGGTCTTGGGAACAGAACTGAGGTTCTCTGTAACAGCAGTCCTTACGCTTGACTACCAACAGAGCCAGCTTTCCAGCCCCAGATGTCGTGGCTCTGAAATAATTTAAGCAGTTTTGTGCTAAGAACCTAGGACCTCATCTCATGTCCATTAGGCAAGTACCCACCATGGACCTACATCCCCAGCTAGAGCCCAGTGGGGTTTTTTTTTTTAAATAATTTATTCTTCATTTCCAGTTTACAAGTCAGGCTTTCTTTCTTTCTTTTTTTTTTTAAAGATTTATTTATGATATATGAATACACTGTTGCTGTCTTCAGACACACCAGAAGAGGGCATCAGATCTCATTATAGATGGTTGTGAGCCACCATGTGGTTGCTGGGATTTGAACTCAGGACCTCTGGAAGTGCAGTCAGTGCTCTTAACCACTGAGCCATCTCTCCAGCCCCCCCCCTTTTTTTAAGATTTATTTATTTATGTATGTGAGTACACTGTCTTCAGACACATACCAGAAAAGGACATTGGATGCCATAGTTGTGAGCCACCATGTGGTTGCTGGGAATTGAACTCAGGACCTCTGGAAGAGCAGACAGTGTTCTTAACCTCTGAGCCATCTCTCCAATTTATCCATTTTTTAAAAAAATTTGTTCTTTTGAGGCAGGGTTTCTGTATACAGTCCCAGCTATCTTGGAACTCTGTAGACCAGGCTGGCTTTCAACTCAAGAGTTCAATTTGCCTCTGCCTCCAGAGTGCTGGGATTAAAGGTGCTTGCTACCCCATGGCCCGACTTTTAAGCAGTGCTGGAGATAAATGAAGGGTTTTCACATGCTAAACAGCCACCACTTTTGGAGGGAGCCTGAGGCAACCTCAGTGTATAAGTAGCCTGAGCTGTCTCAGAACTCTGTCCACAGGCCAGACTCAGGTTCCCTAACATTGGGATTAGGGTCATAAGCAATCATGCCAGGCCTCAACTTACTTTTTTTTTTTTTAACGTTTAGACTTATGTGCATGAGTATTTTGCTTGCATTTTTATTCCTGCATCATGTTCATGTGCGGTGACCGTGGAGGTTAAGGGAGTTCACAGGATCTGCAACTGGAGTTACAGATGGTCGTGAGCCACCATGCGGGTGTCAAGAATTGAACCCAGGTTCTCAGTAAGAGGAACAAGTGCTTTTTACAAGTTTTTTTTTTTTTTTTTGGTTTATCGAGATGGGGTTTCTCTGTGTAGCCCTGGCTGTCCTGGAACTCACTCTATAGACCAGGCTGGCCTTGAACTCAGAAATCCGCCTGCCTCTGCCTCCGAAGTGCTGGGATTAAAGGCGTGCCAAGATTTTATTATTAATCTCACAATGTAGCTCTAGCTGGCCCCACAGCAGAGTGTGCTGAGTGCTGGAATTATAGGTGCTCACCACTGATTTTTACTTTATTGCTATTATTTTACTTATTTGTTTTTTTTCAAGACAGTGCCTGCCTCTGTTCCCCCCCTCCACCCCACCCCCCGGGATTAAATGCATGAGACACTGAGTTCCCATTTCTAATGTAACACATGTGTGTTTCTGAGTGTGGGTTTGTGTATATGGAAGTACTGTCTGTGGAGGCCAGTGGAAGCATCGGGTCCCCTAAAGCTGGAGTTACACTTAGTGTGGATTGTCTCATGTGGGTGCTTGGAACCCAGAGTTTACTCTTAAGCCCAGTCCTTCAGCCAGTTTTTTGGTGTGAGAATGACTTGGCTGTTTACTGTGAAGTTTTTACCACAAGGAATAAAGTTCAGGTGTAGTCATTTACTTCTTGGTTTGTATCTGCATCTTGAGATGGGGTCTTGGGACATCTCCAGGATGGCCCCAGGCTTCTTAGGGATCCAAGGTTGACCAGTACTCCAGATTCTCTCATCTCCCAGACTCTGGGCTTACAGGTATGCGTTTATCATGCTAGTATGGTGTGGTACTTTCTTTTTCAGATTTATGTGTATAAGTGTTCTGCTAGCATGTATGTTTGTGCACTACTCGTGTGCTTGGTGACCTCAATGTCAGACGAGGGTGTTAGGTTCTCAGGAACTGAGTTATGGAGGGTTGTAAGCTCCTACCTATGTGGAACCCTGGTCTTCTGGGAGAACAAGAAGTGCTCTTAACTGCTGTTGGTCTACCTCTAAACTACTAAAGATACCATATCCTAACCTAAAGCCTAGCACACAGCTCGGCAAGTTGCAGTAATCTTGGCTACAATCCTAGGTACCCTACCCCCAACCTTTCTAAGATAGGGTTTTCCTAAACTGTTCTGGTCAACCTTACACTCTCTCTGTAACCCAGGGCGGGAGGGGTGGTAGTGGGGTGTTTAACTTTCAGCAATCCTGTCTTTCCTTTGGATGCTGGATTTACAGTCAGTACACCTGGCTCTGAAGTCCTTTTTTTTTTTTTTTTTTTTTTAAAGATTTATTTATTTTACTTATGAGTACACTGTAGCTGTCTTCAGACACACCAGAAGAGGGCATCGAATCTCATTACGGATGGTTGTGAGCCACCATGTGGTTGCTGGGATTTGAACTCAGGACCTCTGGAAGAGCAGTCAGTGCTCTTAACCGCTGAGCCATCTCTCCAGCCCTTTTTTTTTTTTTTTTTTTTTTTTGGTGGTTGTTGTTGTTTTTTCGAGACAGGGTTTCTCTGTATAGTCCTGGCTGGCCTGGAACTCAGAAATCCATCTGTCTCTGCCTCCCAAGTGCTGGGATTAAAGGCGTGGACCACCACTGCCCGGCCCTGAAGTCCTTTTTTATACAGGAAAAACCCAAGCCACTTCGGGTGACAATGGCCATGAGCAAAGGAGTCAATCTCCAGACTTTGCTCTGGCCACACAAACCAGGTCGCACTGTAATTCTGCATTTCCTTGCGTTTCATCTGTGTGTTACTTCACTGTATCTTTTCCACAGGGTCTCACTATTGCACACACCACACAAACAAAAAACACAAACAAAAAACAAAACAGCAGCAGCAAACTACTTTTATTCAGGTAGTCATCATGGTAGGTATTTTACGGTTCAGGGAACTGAGGCCGATAGCATTTCTGAAATCACCCCAATGTTTGTTCTTATGGTAGTGTCTAATGTACCCCATGTTGGTGGTCCCCAGTTAGGCAACTTTCCTCCTTCCTTCCCACTTCCTCCTCCCCCTTATTTACAAAAGGCCCGACTGGCCAGGAACTCACCGTGTAGACCAGAGTGGCCTCAAGCCCCTTGTGGGCCACTATGCTTGGGCACACCTATTCCTATCTTAATCACTGCTCACATAAAAATTAGCTGAACCTTGAAAACAGCGATTGTCAACCGACAGACCTACTCACAGGCGCTCAAATATACTGCTCTTCCGGATGTGTCAGAATGTATCCTTATTCGAGTTTAAAACCTCGTCGCTCTTTTGACAGTTTTTAAAGTAATCAAATATAATACCGAACGTGTGTTTCACACACGTATATTTTTCCTTCTAAACGATTGCCAACGTTAAAAATAACAGTAGCAGCCTTACGGTAATGTCACCAAGGCACTCCGCTAAGCGTTCCGGGTCCATCTTTCACACCCACGGGAGAACACTGCCCACTCAACCATCACCAGCCCTCGGAGTCACCGCGGGCACCACGCAGCTCTCGCGTTTCTCCGCACCGGCCGCCTCGGATCCCAGGAAAAGCGAAAACTCGGGAGGCGCGGCGTTTCCCGTCGCCGCAGCCCGGAGGACAGCGAGGGGAGAAACAAAAAGCGAACTGAAGCCGGCGCGTGTGTTGGCGGCGCTGCGCTGTCCCGGAGTTCGGTTCCATCTTCCGCTGCGCGTACCGGGCGCCCACAAGTGACCCAACCAGGCCCAACGCCGCGGTCACCGGGAACCTCCGGCTAAACGCCCGCGGCCGCGAAAACAAGTGCGCTCCGCCCTCGCGGACGTCAGCGGCCCGCCCCCATCCTGCCCAGGCAGCCAGGACACCCCCGCCCCACAAAGGCCGAAGCTGAGGCCCCACGGGAGAAAGCGGAGCCCGGGCCACCGCCCTCCGAGACCCAGGCCGCTGCTCGACCCCGCCCCGCGCAGCCCGCGGGCTGCCGCCCCTCCCCCACCAGCCGGGCGGTGCGAGCCCCCGCACCTCCCCCGCTCCGAGGCTCCCGAGTCCTGTCAGCACCGCCTCCGCATTCGTCCGCTGCCGCACAGCCTCTTGGGAGTTGGCGTTCCAAGACGGTCTCTAGACTCCGCGGCGCAACGCTAAAGGGACTACCATTCCCACAATGCCGCGCGCCGCGCGGGCCACACCCCCACATGACGAAGTCCAGACAACCCGGACTACAGTTCCCGACGACCCTCCCGGCGCTCCCGCCCTCCCTCCCGAGACACGAGCCGAACTGGGCGTCAGGTCGGGGAGCCGGTCGGGTTCCCGCTCGCTGTCGCCGCCGCCGCCGCCGCCGCCCCCCACAGTGCCTCTCCCGCCTCTCCACAGCGCCGGTCGTGGGAGCTGCATCCTCCACTCAGTTCTCCGTGGAGAGTCCAGTTCGGGATCAGCGAGCCTGCGACGCGACACACCGACACCCCCGTCACCTCCAGCCCGGGCGACCCCTCCCCGGCCGGGTCCGCCCTCACCCTGCGCGGTGCCGGAGCCCCCTGGCCCTGAGCGTCCCGTGGGCCCGCTCCCGCACTCCGGCCTCGGCACTCCCACAGCCGCCGCCCCCCACCCGGAACATGGACTCCGACTCCTGCGCCGCCGCCTTCCACCCGGAGGTGAGTACGAGCTTCGTCTCGCCGCCCCCTCCCCGGCCTTCGCTGCACTCCGGGTCGAGCCGGACCCCGGGACGCCGTCTCGAGCCCGGCCTCCCTCCCCCACGTTCGCCCGGCGCCCCCAGCTCGGGCCCGCGCCTTTGCTCCCCGCCGGTCCTCCCGGGCGCCGCGCCCACCCTCCGCCCCGAGGACACGGTCCTCCGCCGCCCCGGCTCGGGCTCGCGGGGGGTCTCTTTCCCCACTTCCCCGGTGCGGGCCCGGCCCCCTCGGAACGGCTACGCGCGCGGTCCTGCCGCCCCCTCCACCGGCCAGGCCGCGCCCCGCCCCCACGGCGCCCGCGTCCGGGGGGTCCGTACTCGGGAGCCG